GTTCCACCTCCCAGCCCAGCCCAGCCCAGCCCAGCCCAGAGTGGCAGGAAGAGGGACCTCCATCAGCACACTTTTAACCCATTTACATTTCTTCTCCCCTTTCAGGAATGAGTTAAGTCATGAGGTCTGTTGCATGCCCCGTGTATAATCTTCCTTATTATGCTTATCATATTTCTGGGGCAGCATCTGCGGGGCGTTGAAGCCTCTGGCAGAAGCCACGCCTTACTGTAAATGGGCTGAATTAGACTCACAAGAGGCCCTTGATGCCCTGTGGTCTCTGCTTCCTTAATGGGGATTTTCCTTCTTTTTTTCTCCCCTTTTTAATACAGTCACCGATTTGGCTCTCATAGTGCGGTTTGGATTCCTATCAGAGAAGTCAAGATGGTAGAATCCCTTCCAGATCTTCCCTCCCTCTTCCCAAACCACCCCCCCAACCCCAGCCAACTGCGCCAAAAGCCCCGAGAAAAGAAAATGCTGCTCACGTCAGGATTTCAGCGGGAAGAGGGAAGCCCTGTTGGAATTCCAAAAAATCAACTGAGAAGTGGCTTGTACAGAAATTCTTCTCTGAGTTAGTACCTGAACAACAGACTTTGAGCCTTGTGGAGGGGACTTTGAGGCCTCAAGCCCACTGGCATGGTGGCCTCATTTGCAGAGGGTGGCCTCAAAATGCAAGGTGGAGGTTCCATGCTCTGGCACCAGTAGGAGTAAGGGTCAGGCAAACCCTCCCCACCTATCCCCCCATCTCATCCACCCCCACCCCTCTCTCTCTAAACCTTCTGTAGCTTATGGAAGTCTTAAATGGTTCTGTCACTATTTGTTTTCTGCTAATTCTGTCTCTGCAACCAGATCAGGGACTATATATGCATACATACACACATACATATACACAGGAGTCCCTGGGTGGTGCAAACAGTTAATGCACTCAGCTGCTAACCAAAAGGTTAGAGGTTTAAGTCTACCCAGAGGTACCTTGGAAGAAAGGCCTGGTGATCTAGTTCTGAAAAATCAGCCACTGAAAACCCTATGGAGCACAGTTCTACTCTGACACATATAGGGTCTCCAGGAGTTGGAATTGATTCCATGGCAACTGTTTTTTGTTTTTGTTTTTAAAATACATATAGATATACACAGAGCCCTGGTGGCAGAGTGGTTAAAAGCTTGGCTGCTAACCAAAAGGTTGGCAGTTGAAATCCACCAGCTGTTCCTTGGAAACCCTGTAGGGTCACTATGAGTTGAAATTGACTCGATGGCAACTTTTTTTTTTTTTTAAGATATACACACATATGTACATACATCTCTCCATTAGGGATACAAGACACAATCAGGCCTTTGGCCAGCCTTGAGATGGGGAATTGGGGCAGGGGAGCCGGCTGCTCTGGCCATCTCTGTCCTCTCCTTTCTTTTTTCCGAGGGGATGAGAGAGGACAGGAGTGCTGTTTTTGAATAATGAGGCTTCTGTTCCATGCAGGTCTGTGGGCCCTGGTCCCTTCTATGGTCTCCTCTTTAGTTTCCTCTATTCCTCTGTTGGACAGGTTCTTCAGGGTCCTGCTGTATACTACTTGACCACTGGAGTCACTGGGTGTCTTAGTCATCTTGTGCTGCTACAACATAAATACCACAAATGGGTGGCTTTAACAAACAGAAATTTATTTTCTCACTGTTTAGGAGGCTAGAAGTCCAAATTCAGGGCACCAGCTCTAGTGTAGGCTTTCTCTCTGTTGGTTCTGGGGGAAAGTCCTTATTCCTTGGCTTCTTGGTGATCTTCATGTGGCATGGTGTCTTTCTTCCCCCATCTCTGCTTCCTAGCTTGCTTGTTTAATCTCTTTTGTATCTCAGAAGAGGTTGACTCAAGATACACTGTATACTAATCCTGCCTCATTAACATAACAAAGACAGCCTATTCCCTAATGGGATTATAAACATAGGCATAGAGGTTAGGAATTACAATGCATATTTTGGGGGGGACACAATTCAATCCATATCACTGGGTCTGGTCAACCTCCAATCCTGACAGATAACTGACTCAGGAAGAAGGCCCAGAATTCCGGTCTCAGGGCTGCCTGTCATTTTGTCAGTCCTGAGAGTGGGTCTCCTCACGCTATGTGTTTATTTTTATGTGATGTCCCCATAGCCATTCCTGCAGTGTGCAAGCAATAAAGTGACAGGCAACCAAAAGAGGATAGGAGGCAAAGAGGCAGGGAATACCAAATCTGTGACATCTTCCCCACATCAAAGCGGTTATCTCCCACGGCTTGAGAAATCACGTTTTATCTGCTTTCAAGAAGAACACACGGCAGGACCTATTTATCTCGTGACACTGTTCAGTCTGCAAAGTGTTGTCTCTCTGACGTGGAGCTGACCCCTCGTTCTGGCTTCAGAGAGAAAGGGAGGGAAGGTTAGCCTGAGGAAGATTCTAGGAGAGGAAGGTGAATGAACCAGCAGGATGTGCTGAGTGTCTGCTGTACGCAAAGCCTTGTGCTAAGTGGAGTGTGGGGGGCAGAGAGGAGGAATGGGCTGCAGACAGTGGCCTCAAGTTCACAATGTATTTGGAGAGATGAGAGATACAGATAGGAAACCAGTCACACACAAGGTGATGCAGTTGATGTTCCACTGCCTGACTTAACAGGGCTGGTGACCAGTACCTGTGGTGACAGGTAAGTCAGGGATGGCTGTAGCAGCTGCTTTCAATACCTTACCCCCGTCTCCCCTTCCCTATTCACCTCTACCTGCCATAGGCTACTTTATCAGAACAACCGTGACTGTCTACCTGAGAGCTTCGTTCTAGCCGTGGGAGCACACTGGGCCAAAAGTGCCAGAGTTAATGACCTTGGAAACAGCCCTCAGTGACAACTTGTACCTTCGGGAGCTAGTGGATAGATATCTCAGCCTCCTCACCCTCAGTTGGGATAAACCTCTGAGGTGTACTCTACATTGTCTCCCAGAGTTCCCTAGTAGCACTTACTGAGCTCCGTTTGCCCACAGTGATTAACTGGCTTGATAATACTTCCTTCCTTTCCCTTCCTTACTTCCCCTCTCCCCAGTGGTAGTTCCTAGGATCATCTCCCAAATAAATGACTTGCACTCCAATCATTGTCTCCAGTTCTGCTTGTGGGGGAACAGCCTAAACTGAGGCAATGGACTTTCTTAGTACTTCACTTGGACCTGGACAGAAGGAGCTTACGTGGATTAACATGCAGCTACATATTTGTTCACATGCGATGGAAATTACATTAATTAGGACTCCTTTAGGGCAAGTGATGAAAATGCATCTCGAAGTGGTTTAAATAATGAAAAGAATTTTCTTGTTTTATGTAAGTGAAGAGTACTGGGATAGACTCTAGATTCAGGAACTGCTATATCCAGCTGCTCAATGTCAAAGGAATCCACCTCTTGCCATAGCTTGGTTCTGCTTTTCAATCATCCAAGAAGCATTTACTGAGCACCTACCATGTGCCAGCCATAGGTCCTTCCTCTCAGTTGGTTTCTTTCTCAGGCAATAATAAAGATGACTAGAAGCTCCTTAAGGAGCCCTGGTGGCGCAGTGGTTAAGTGCCTGGCTACTAATCAAAAGGTCAGCGGTTGGAACCCATCAGCCCCTCCATGAGAGAAAAATGTGACAGTCTGCTTCTGTAAAGATTATAGCCTTGGAAACCCCATGGGGCAGTTCTACTGTCGCTGAGTCGGAATTGATTAGACAGCAATGGGTTTAGAAGCTCCAGGCTTTTGTCCTACCAGCTTAGCAACCGTGGGAGAAAGGGCACCAGCAGAAGCCTCAGGGCTGACTCTCATTGACTTGTGTTGGGTCCCCTGCCCATCCATGAGTCAATTACTGTGACTCTGGTTGATGAGGCTGGGTCACATGCCTATCCTTGTCACCAGGGGGTGTGGTTAGCCCCATTCAAGCCACAAGGACTGAAAGTGGAGGGAGAAGTTCTCCAGAAGGAAATCAGGTGGTCTTGGATAAGGGATGTCTCTTACAGCTATGGAGTGACCACTAACTGCAGGCCAGGCTCTGTGGGCCTAAGATGAATCCCACAGGCCCCTGCTGGACGGGGGCTCACAAATAGCTATAATACACAGCAGAACATGGCAAGTACCTTAGGAATGGACAGCGTGTTATGAATGTTCTGCAGAGGGAGGTTACTCTCAGCTCAGCCAATCAATCAAGGAAGGTCTTCTGGAAGGGAGCATCGGCCCTGGACATTGACAGCCACTGGCTACAGAAATGCCAGCCATGCAAGGCTGTGAACATCAGACTGAGGAGTTCAGGTTCTAAATTTAACAGACTGTAAAGGACTACACATTGAGCTATTTGTTAGGATTGAGTTTAGCCAACTTGGAAGAGCCTGCTGGTAAGTTTTGATGGGCTGGCATTTCCTGCAAGCCTGGCCCATACCTGTAGAGGGGTTTGCCAGTCCAGCTGGGCAGTGCCAATATGGCTGGAGGCTGTGGGTACCAGAGGCTGGGGAGCATTCAGGCTGGGGCAGCCAGGCTTCCCTTGGCATTGGCTTGTGCCTGCCCTAGAAATAGCCACCCACTAAACTAAGAATAGGAATTCCTGCCTGGCTGGTAGGAAGGAATGCCAGTTTCTCAATGAGGGATGGGCCTGAAAACAAAACACAGCATGTGGGTTGGGCCATCCTTTGTGTTTATTTGCGAAGTCCCTTGAGAACCATGCCCACACTGGGGCATTGATCCTGCATTAGACCCAGACACGGTGACCTGGCCAAGTTGTTCATGAATGGAAGCCCAAGGTGGCAACCTCCAGGACTCCTCATCTGCCAGAGAAATCCTGGGTCCTTAGCCTTGGGCGCCTCCTGCTCACCGGGAGAGGTGACCACTCCTCTTTTGTCTCCTTGACATTGGGCAGAGGAGGCAACAGGTGGTGGCCAGCTAAGGAGCTGGGAAGCCCAGGCAGAGGGGAATGAGAAGGTAGAAGTCTCTGTTCCCTCTGGCAGTTTTGCCTGAAACCACCCAGCTCATGAGCATTTCTCTTCCAGGCAAGATCCTTTTCCGGAGAAGCCACATCCGGGACGTAGCTGTGAAGAGGCTGAAGCCCATTGATGAGTACTGCCGGGTAAGGGCATGTCTGGGGGCATCCTGTACGTCTGCCTGTCTGGGAGTCTGTCCATCTGTGAAGGAGGCTGTCTACAAAGCCCTCCGCCGTAGTTTAGCAGATGCATCCTGAGGCCTGGCGTTTCCTGGCCAGAGGGGTGGGAATGGGTGTCCCTCGGGGAGAGGTCACCTGGTGACTGGGCCACGTCTAGGGCACGAGGGCCTCAGGCTCACAGCTTGGCCCATACTCCTTTCTGGACATGTCCTTGTTTACTAAACACTGTTTTAAACCACTTCTCTCAGCCTCCTGCTGAAGGGATTCTGAAAGTGGCGTTCTGCTAGACACAGAATTATTTCCTTGAATTCTTTTTGAGAAATTGTTGGAATCAGCTCTGAGTTCAGTAGCATCTGAAATTCGCATGTGTTTATTCACATAAATCCTTATAGATGCAAATGTTCATATACACATCTTTATAGATGCAAATGCTCACATGTGCACGCATGCACGTGCATATGCACACACACACACACACACACACATACACATACACACAGACCCACGTTAAAACAGCGCTGAAGAGCAGACAGGAGAAGAGCTATGTCCTGAACCAGAGTCTGTCTTTCTACCTTGATTAGAGCCTAGAACCCCTGCAGTGAGAATGATAAGCTGTCCCAAGTTCAGTGTCCTCATCACGTGACCTCTGGATAGTCAGAATGCCTGGGTTCGAACCTCTGACTAGCTGTATGAATTTGGGCAAGTTACTTAACTTCTCTGAGCCTCAGTTTCCACATCTGTGCAATTGGGAGAAGAATAGCACCTCCACAGAGGGTAGGTGTGAGGATGGAGTGAAATGGCCCATGTAAAGGCAACAGCCCCAGTGCATGGCACAGAAGAAGCATTCAGTAAGTGCTAGCTTTATGTTATTATTATTACAAGGTGCCAACAACTTAGTGTTAACTACTGGGCACCATTGGCTTTAATGGAGTTGGAATTTCTTAGCTGAACAAGACCTACTGTGGAGTCTGGCTCAAGAATCTTGAGGAGAGGCAGGTGTGGTAGAATGTTTTGTCACGAGTGCTGGTATTAGAGTGAGACGAGCTGGGGTCAAATCCCAGTGCCCCACTTACCAGCTGTGTGACCTTGGGCAAGTTTGCTTTACCTCTCTGAGCCCTACTTTCCTCATCTATAAAATGGGGATAAAAAGAACTATCTCACAAGGTTCTTGAAAGGGATTGAGTGGGAGAGTGTTTTGTAACTTCCGAAATGCTCTGTACCTACACAGAATTGTTACCCATGTGGTCTCTTATTGCTCTAATACTGTATAATTCTGAATCATAATGCTTGGCAAGTAAAAATAAGGACCAAACTGCTAAATTTATTAATTGCTGTTCCTAAGCCTGTAGGAAGGTAAACCAGTTGGCTGTTGAGTCAATTCCAACTCATAGCAACCCATATGTGTGTGAGTAGAACTGTGCTCCATAGGGTTTTCAGTGCCTGCTTCTTCAGAAGTAAACTGCCAGGCCTTTCTTGTGAGGCACCTCTGAGTAGACTTCAACCTCTAATCATCTGGTTAGCATCCGAGCGCGTTAACCATTTTCACCACCTAGGTACTCGTACGGGAAGGTGAGCACTCCCACATACTCGCCATTAAATCAGAGTTTGATTTCAGTGACTTGGGCCATGTTTTCTGCCTTTTCCTAAAGGGTGCCTCAGTGATAGCTCCCCTTTAAGCTGGAAGCTCCTCTTCTTTAGATCAATATTCATTTTCCTCTTTAAAGGATATTTGCTGTTTTCAGCTAAATTGACGGCTGCAGCCAGAGCTTTCATTTCTCTTTATGCTTTTCCCAAGAAGTTAAATAAACGAGCAAAGCTAATGGAGGAGGGGGCAAAGGGCAGAAGGAAGCCTTTTCCAGCTGGGATTTACGGCTCAAATCAGCCTGGGCCTCCCTGCGCTGGTGGGGCCCGAGGCATGCTCAGTTGGGCTCCATGAAAATGCTGTCTCCTGGATCATCCGGAGGAGGAAGCTGATAGCATCTTATCTTCTAGGATCAGGCTTTGAACAGGACTCCTGAATCGGGATCAGATTCAGGGGGGTTCTGGAGCCCCAGTGCTGCTGCTGGTGGGCATTTAAGTAGGGTCTGCAAGAGGGGGGCCTCCTAACCTGATTAGTGCAGACAGGAACTGCGGAGAGCCAGGCCACAAAGAGCGGTGTTGTGGGTTCACCATGCAGACAACCATCTCGAAGGCAGTAATTTACTCTTAGATGGCCGGGAGTGGTGGGGGGGAGGGCAGTGCAGAAGTGACCTTTAATTCTGCTGAACTAGAAACTCTGTGATCTGTGATCCAGTTGTCTGAGAAACCGGCTGACCTTGGATGAGCCAGCGGTGGTCCATGGCCACTACCACCCAGCATTGCATTTCACACTCTGCCACCAAAGAGTCGAATCCATGGCCACTCAGCATGCAACATTTCACTCGGTGACACTGCCACCCAACAGCCAGCTTCAGGGCCAGTACCATGTGCAAGCCACTCAGCATCACTGCCAGCTACAGCCAACCTCCCAGCCAGGGCCACGCAGCAGTCCACGCTGGTGTCCACGCCAGTGTGCCATGGCCAGCCCTGTCCTTCTCTATACTTGCCCTTGAACACACTCTGCTGGGAGTCTCTCCCGTCTTTATTTACAATGCTCTGCATCTCCAGCTCTGCTTGGCTTGCCAACATCTCCTTCCTTGGACTGCACAGACAAACGTGGGTCCGAGGCTGGGATCTGGTGGGGTTCAAACACATCCAAAATTGTGAAACTGGCTTTGCACACGGAGCAGCCAGCTCCTCCATGAGGACTCAGATGTGGAAAGTCTGAGCACTCGGTGGACCTCCCCAGACTTCAGGCTCCCTGCCTCCCCGGCTAGCCAGTCCCTCTGCCTGATGGCAGTCTCACAGTCCAAATCTCAGTGCTCGTTTTAAACATATATGGAGCAGATTGGATGAGCGTCATGGAAAATTTACTGAGCGCCAGCCTGGGTGATTGTTTTATGTGGCACTTGAGGGCCGGGTGTCTATCAAGAGGGTTGCAAAGGCATTTCTTTAACTCCATAAATTAATTTAATGGGCAACATGGTTATGCGGTTCATATTTAATGGTTCTGTGGCCTCGACAAGTTGAAGGCTTTCATTTTCCTAACAATCATGCGCTAAACTGTAGGGCTCGGGTTAGCAGTTTTTATTAGTGACTCCATTTACGGTGTTCCTGTGTGTGAAATACATGTTTGCAGTGTTTGTCCAGGGAATAAAATAAATATCCCCGGGGGGTAAAAGGGAGTGTTTGAGAATGATCAATTCACCCGTTTGCCAAGTTAATGACATTTATACAAGCCTCCACTTCCTGGTAGGTGTGACTAGAATTTTTTTTTTTTTTTCTGTTGCCCAAATAGCTGAGCTTGTTTCTATTATTCTGCTGTCCATGACAGACTTGCTTTCAGGGATCAATGACTTTCTTTGTGATAGGGATCAAGGACTGCGTGCAGTCGCACTAGGGGTAGGCGGTCTGAGCCCAGCAAGGGGGTCAGCACTGAAGGGGTAAGGATCTCCTGCCCCCTCCTCCTCTGCATCTCCTAGACCCACTTATTTTCATCCCCACTTCCCAGATTGGAAAACTGAGGCTATTACATGGTTGTGGAGTTAATGCCCAGATGTTCTGTCTTCTACTGTGGGATTTTTCCATCATGACTCAATATTGGCTCTCACCTTAATAAAGGGAAAAGTTCATGTTGGAACCAAAACAGACTCCTTCAGGGCTTCCTGGCACATGCAGTGATGATGTGGGGAGGGTAACCTTGTTCTTGTAGTCCTCATTCTGAGCCTGGGCCAGTAGTGTTTCTGATGGGGGAGACCGAGGCCGAGAGCCAAGGCTGATTGGTTTATGCCGAGTGGTCTGGTACTCTGGGGGAACCCAGTCAGTAGAGTCTCTCCATCTCCTTTGGCCCAGACAGAACCAGGAAAAGGAGTTTTGTAAAGGTCCTCGGAGTAGCCCCATTGCCCACAAGAATATTGGCACAGAGTAGCTCCATTGCCCACAAGAATGTTGGCACATAACCACCAAGGCTCTGTGAGAGGCATCCAGTGCTCCAACCTCTCTTCACAGCCGTGCAGTCCAGCCCAGCAGACTTGTAGCCACTCCCACCTAGCCTCGCCCGCGCTGCCCCCTCCTAGAAGCCTCCAACTCCCCGGGAAGGCTGACCACCCCTGCTCATCTGCTCCCCAGAGAACTTTGCACAGCCCTCTGCTCTGCACATTTACCTTTTGCAGGAGTGTAATTTTCTACGCCTCCATCTCCTCCGCGGGCTGGGAGCACCTGGAGGGCCATAGCCTCACTAACCAGCAGGAAGCCTGGCCCCAAGGGTGTCCAGCCAATGTCTGATGACAAGAGGAGAAGATCACAAGCAGATGAAACTCCCCACTCGCCCCCCAGAGTGACACATTCCCCAGGCCCTAAGGACTAGGAGACTTGTGAAATGGCTTAAACTGTGACAGCGAATTAGAGACTATTTACATTTCAAAAAAGATTCTCTGCTTAGATCCTTTAAAGAGAACCTCGTGTTTGAAATACCCTGATTTATGGACGTTCAGTGAGGCCCCAGCTTTCTAAATGATGATCTAGGGAGAACAGTTTGAGCAGGGCAGAGGCATGCCTCAGGGGTGGGGTGGAGACACAGCAGGAGGCCAAACTGGGGCTCCGGCACCCCCATGCCCCATCCTAACCGCCCCCCCCCCCCGCCACCCCAGAGCAGCTGGGCTTTTACCTATAAGGTTTCCTCTGATTAGAAACTAAAATGACCTGGCTAAAAAGGGGGGAAATGCTTGATCCCATGTAAAGAGTGGGACACCCATGGTTGTTTTGCCTGATGTAGAACTTTGCTTTTTGTCCCGGGACAGACATTACCCAGAGTGGTGGGCTTTGTAGAGGGTGATTGGTTTTGAAGCAGAGGGTCTGACCACCGTCTGCCTGGGGCCCTCTCACGCCCC